TAGATGTACGTACTTGAGGTCCCTCGGTGACAACAAACTACATCAAATATGGAGCAGTGAGATTGTCAGTCGCGCCTCCTAGCAGGATTTGCTAAGTAATTACTAGCCGATGTGATACGTTTTCTCGTTGCATGACCTTAGGTTAATTCCTTTCATTCAGATCTTCATTCAGATGGTGTTCTTACACTAGCAAAATCTAAAACAACCTACATACTTGTGTGGATGCTCTCGTGTACAGCTCATTTTACTTACATTGCAAATATACGAGTTCCAACGGCCATAAAAAGGCGAACTAAGCGAACGGGAAACATCTATCGCCTTTCAATCTTTGCTATTACCCTCCCGCGTTTTCTTTGTTTTTCTTTCATAGCACGTTTCGTCTGATAGCAACGTGCGGACTGCTACTGCTGCTGCCTCGTAGTTGTAGATTAGCGAACTCTCAATATCCGAAATAGTGGTAGTAGTTGTTCGTAGGTGTTTTAGACGCCACGTCGCAAACGAGCGAGCTATGCGACTTTGTCCATTTCGAGCTGTTCGTCAAATCGAGTCGAGTCCGATCTCTAAATAGCCCGGCTGACTGCGATTTCAAAGATTTACGACTAGAAGCTAAACTGCCCTAGACTGAAAAGGCACACTCGAGTAAAACATAGCGCTAAGTTACCCATAGTGAAGACTAGTCCCTAGAACTTAAAAACCCAACAGTTAGCCTTTTTCGGAGCACCCCAACGGCGGGTGTAGCTGCGTCAGCTTAACTGGCCCAGTAATCAACTGCAGTGAGAAGAAAAACTTATGCCTAAATGTTCGCTGCACTGTAACCAAGCCGACACTCTGGTCGAAGTGTCCGAAAGTCTCCCAGAGGTGCTATTTTGCATCCGAAGTTCAACAATATGATTACTGTCGCCACGCGCATGCTGATTTTCCTCAGCCTTATTTCGGTTTCGAAGCTGAGTGATATTATTTATCTACATTTCCAGATGCTAAGAACAGCTATTTTTCCCAAATTTTTCTTTCCCCATTCCTCTTTTAAGTAACGCTAGTACAATGACCGTGAACCAACCAGATGACTATGGCCTCACGTTGACCTGAAGACCGCAAGTATAGATGTCTTCTCTTAGAAACAAGGCTTAGACACGGATAAAACACCTGTATCTATTTAAGACGAGTATGCTACTGATACAAGACTTAAACAGGACGTTCCGCCTACTAACCTAACACAGAGCTACTTATCCAGTGATTTAAGAGGAGGAACAACGAAATTAGGATGATGTTTCATTTTCAGGGGATATGTGACATTTACCTTGGGATCAAGGTTTTTGGCGTTCCTGTGTTTTATCCAATTGAAGTTCCTGTGAACGGCTGGTATAACTCTCGTTCTGACCATTTGTCAGTATTGACGTTAGAGAAAATCGTTGATTCGACACGTATTGTTGTACCGTCAATGCATAACTAATAATAAAAATAGCAAATTCAGAAAAGTTGAACACATGTATATTTTTTCTTGGGGAACACACGCACATATAGTATTGCCTATTCGAATACAATGTTTTGTGATCGTTATATATTGGTGAAATACGTAGATGGCTTCTTGAACTGACCTCTATATGTGCAGTGTATACTCAATACGTTTACGTCCATTATTAAACTTTATAGTTTGTGATTAAGAATGTTTTACATCATCACTGAATATAGTAATGAATCTAGAATAACTAGGAGACGCAGTAAACAATACGAGGTTTTGTGCTTTACACATCGAGATTATCTCGTAAGCTATTATAGTGTTTCCCGTTCAAAAGGCTCATGTGTTTTGAAAACTTGATTTAACTATATTCTGCTCTTATTCCGCCGCCATATTTGTTCGTCTCCAAAAACCAGTGTCACTCCCGTATAATCGCCAAGAGTTTCATCAATGCTGAAATATTCGTTTTCGGTCATAGCACACCACTGAGATATGCATTAACAACGATTCCATACCCTTATATAACAATAATTTTCATACCCCCGATACAGCCCCAAGCACTTCTCTGTGTTCGCGCTACGGCTGGTGCCAAATGCGAATATCTTTTCAAAACTACAGTTTCAAGGGGGCGTTAGCGTCCACTCGTACCTCGTAACTCGTAACGTTTCCTAACAAAACCGTACTTCCCCGCTTTATTCCGTGTGTGTGTTTTTTGTTAGTTCGTATTCAATGCATCTCCGTTTTGAAGACTGCATTCAGGATACTATCAGTGACATTGGGTACGTGCGATCAGTCTATTCGTTTAACTGTTGCTAGTCGAGCCTCACACGATGTTCTTCATTTTTCTTATTTACCAGCAGGACAAGGCTTGCTATGGATGAAATGGCGCGCGCTTGTCTCTGTCGTTTATTTGGTTGCGCGACGATGGGCCGCGATTCCACCACCGATAGTCGCCATAATCCCGTCGTCGCAGGGCCATTGCTCGATCGTTTTTAGATCCCAGAATCAGCCAATGGTGCCCGACCTAATTCTATCCGCAGAAAGTGCACCATGACATTTATTTGCCACATCGCATTGCTTGCTTTTCACTTCACTGGGTACCTCATCCCCAGCAAAAAGAACATTCAGCTTTTTGTAGTTCACGCATTATTGCTTCACGTCCCGTCCTGTCAGTGCTATGAACTGGTCGTTCCCCAGCACCAACACATGTCCATACGTCTTTGCCAGAATTTTTCATTTTAAGCTAATCACATTATCATTATAGACGGCTATGTTTAGTTCCGCAGAGCCCCCTGTACTATATAAAATTCCGTATAAAGCCTGCCATAATTGAATAAGACCTTAAGGCAAAAATTAGCTTGTTTAGCGCCTGTGCTGTTGAACACGCGGCGATTTAAATGCTCCGATATTAGAACCCATCCTTCATGGTCACAACACATTGGCCTACAGCTGCATATATCCCCCCTGATACCGCAAAGCGCAAGTAACGGTTGTGCCGACACTAGTAATATATCCAACTCTTCAGTCGCATTTTCGGATATAAAGAAAGAAGACAATTGGTTTTGTTCTCGACCATTGTGTTGATCTGAATATCAACCGGTGCTTTAGCTACCGAAAGCAAAACTTTTAGTGGTCATCGGACTCATTGCATGTCCCATTTCCATTTGGGCTCTAAATGCAACCGGTACCTTGATTATCGATCGTATTGATGTTGCCATCCTGCACATTGGCACTACAACCATCGTAGCTCGGTAAACCGACGTCTTACTGCTGCCACCCCAGTCTTGATACAGACTTTTCTCTGGATAAATTGTTTGTTTGGTAATTCCGCTATGCCTTTATGCTATCACTCGACTACTGCATCAACCAGACACTTGTTCTCTGATCTCGGACCCAAGCGTTTTTGTCGAAGTTTGCTCGAATTTGGTATTCCATCTACCTACATATCAACGATATTAGTTCCACTCGTCGTCGCCACTTTTTGCTAACTGTACCTCCGTCCCGTCCCTATACTCGAGTCACGCCGTCATACCTACGATTTGTATTACTGCTTGCGCCACCTATATCGCGGCCATTATTCCACCATTGTTTGTTGTTTTTCACAGAACATGTCATCGTAGCTTCTTGACTGCTGGTATCATTGCATCTAGCGTTTCTGGTTCTATTTCTCTTGCTTCTTTCGCTGACGTTCAGGTCACTGTCCACTTCAAAGGCAATGGAGTTCTACTTTGGAATTTCGGCAAAGGTGCTCCAGATTTTCTTGTCGGTGACGAACTTCCCAGTCCTACCGGCGTTGATCCTTTTGCTTCTTTTTTTTAACACTAGGCTCCAGTGTGCGCAAGCCGTTTGTCCTACTTCTAACCTGCCAGGAGGTGGATTGGGGGGCATGTATGACAGCCCGGCCAAACTAGTCCTATTTATAGTTTGGATAAAAAACATCAGGTATTCCTATAGCACTAACTACTACGGATTATTATATAGACTATGAAACTGCTCGTTCTGAAATCAAGCTACCATTTTGATTTGTCGAGTTAGTGTTCAAACGTGTTATTTAACACATTTGAAATCATATGCCAGATTGAGCAGACAGGAATTTTCGAAAAAAATCTAATCTTAAAATTCAGAGATCGTCTCTCTGCATCATTCAGATCGCCGCATCAGTTTTCACTGTGCCTATTGTTCTGCGCTGATTAACTCTGAGCAAATGCATGATAAGCCGAGTTATAAGTAAGTGCTGTCATAGAAGCTAGTGTTTTTTCGAATCGAAAAGCCAAATTGCTACTTCAGACATTCGGTAGCATAACGGAAGAACATCTCTCTTATAGGGCACCAAAATAATACGGTGAATGGAAAGCCACTAACGATGTCTAGCCAATCGACAAAGGGTGAACAGCCGTACGCTACGTGTTCGAAGTAAGAGTTAGTATATCCTCTATTCTGGAAAAAAAAACATAAATTACTCTCTATGTAATAATATCGAAAAGAAGTACTTCCTATAAGCTTCTTGGCCGTAACGCGCTGGCTGAGTTATTTCTGCATTTTACTTGAAGGATTCTATAACGTACAATTATCTGGTGTATGCCTCGTACAAGGTGATTGGGCTTATCATTCTATAGACGAGGCATTGCAAGGTTCAATAAAGACCTGGTGTGTCTTTTTCTTGACCTAATTTGTAAGAGAAAAACCCCACTATATAGTATTGTCACGTTAACTTACCTAGAATGAATTATGATAGCAACGCCAACTGTAGTCATTCTGTAACTTGTAAGGCGTGTCGTGACCTATCTTTTTTTAGCAATAATCTCTAGTGGGTTAGTCTATTTACTGGAAGTGTTTCTACACTTTCGCCATTAATTAACATATGCGAAATTGTCCTCTGAAACGGTACACGATAAGTATTTTACGTAACTTCACCGGCTTGCACTAACGTATAATAAAGTTTCGAAAGTTTGATATTCATGCTTCGTTTTTTTATTTTGCTCTTTTTTTCTATGTGCACCTTCATCACCTCGTGAAATCTTATGTACACTTCAACATCGTGTAGTCTTCCCTCGATGAAGCGACAGATTCGTGGGGAGTAAAAGTGGAACGAGTTGAAATGTAAGTACTCTAAAATGCATGAATCAGCGCCGAATATTTTTGGGAACGTGCTCAGAAATTTGTTAGCTGTGCGAGTCTTAGCATTACATGATGGCTGTTACAGTTTCCACTTTCCCTCAAACCCATATGGGAACTAACTGATCTGTTTTAACCTATATGTACTGAATTCCTGACCCAGCGGCAATTAACTTCTGCTCGGTATTAAATTTAGTTAAGCTTAAAAAAAAGGTAGATTAGTGTCAATAGTTTGTCAACTTGTATTTACCACGAATTTTTATTAGCCTTATGCACAGGGTAAAGCGAGTGCAGGTGGGTAAATGTGCGACACTTTAATCGGGAGCCGTGAAAAAAAAATAACGCTAACTAACCTTCTTCCAGTCTTCATCCATTGCTTTAAATAACATGTCATTGAGCAGTTTGAGAATGTACTTTGGTCCAAGTTCCTGGATGACAGATCGCCATGATAACCGCCACTATGCATACAAACGCTTTATGGGCATAGGAACTAAAAAAAAATATAGCAACCAGTTTTGCGTCTGGTATGGACTGTCCACATGCTTTGAAGTACATTGATACGAGAAGACCACTCTAAACAAGTCATCATCTATATTAATTCAATGTCACTTCGTTCAGCCTACGAAGTCCAGCTGACTCTTCGGTATATTCCTTTTAAACATCCAATTGAGGGTCTTCCACATTCTAGACAAAATCGACAAGCTTCTTCTTTCTAGGCTACCACCCTGGCGAAAACCCATGTCACTTAAGCGTTACCCTGAAAGGTTTCTTATGTGTCGTAGATTAACTAATCAATGTATGACCCCATAAAATTATCTCGAAGTGTATTATTTAGATTAGTACTATAATTGTGACTTATTCAGTTTAATTTGAAATCATCTCTTTGAAACTCTAAAGGCTATGACTCTAAAAACCAAAGCATTTAAGGAGCATCTTGTCGTCGTCGTATGGGTCATACACAGAGCACGCTTCCAAAGCGGCAACTCGCTTTATATCACTGCGGCGCTAAGGTCTGTTCAATGCGATCCTGATATATGTTATGGGGTGAGCGATCTGTCGGTCATTAAATCATTAGCTTATCATCGCCATCTTCACTCGTCGACATACATATTGCCGTATGTGTGCGAGCTGAAGAAAAAGATCAGGCACCGTTTCCGACAAGGCCCAACAGCGACCTTTAGGTACCGGCGGCTTCGCAGCATTCACATTACATTGAAATAAAGTCATCAATTCGTATAGACACGTGTATGCACGGGGAGACGACGTGCGACAAAATAGCTATCTACAGTTGTGAATACTAGACATAACTGCAGAAGATGGCTGGTCTACCACAGGTTTCAGGGCGCCTGAGAGCAATTGCCTTTAAGTTTTCAAAAATGCACCATTATACCATAATCATGTTTGTGTGGCTGATTTATATAAAAACGATGGACTTAGCGTTTGTAGGCTCCGACGTTATCCAGTATCGCAGACTTTAGTTAAAATAGTTACTGTACTATGGGTCTGTCGATTAGTTTAATGAGTGGACATTTATTTATGTTCAAAAAAAATATTGTTGATAAATAGGTGACACGGTGTTGAAAAGTCAACTCTGCGTATAACAGCTCGCACAGGGGGTATAAATTACTGCACTTCGAATTGCAGGTTCTATGGCGAAAGCAGTCCGAGTGTTCAGTGGCATAAATATGGGTGCATGGCCTGTTTGTAAGTCTCGCGCAGGAAATTGATTGGCGGGTGTTGCGCCACACGCGGGATTCAAGTCATGTTAAATGTTAAGACCAATATGGCTGCGCAGTCAAACGCAACCTGAGGCTGCGGTCACGCAATGCTAATGGATACGGTTGACCTTAGTGGATCGAAGGTTATCCTTCGCTGGCTCAGATCGATACTCGTTAAAGCAGTATAGTTACCGCCCTCCGTACAAAAGGACGATTCAACGAAGCTCGATATACTACAATCTACAAAAGCTTTGAGGCATTGTCAACGGCATGAAGTGTCAAATGCGATAAGGAGCGCGTACTTGACCTGGTCAGTACAGGATGAAGTTTAGCCGCGGGCGTGGCTTGTCAAAAGGTGTTTTACCCATAGAGACGATTAGATGTTAAAGAATAAGCCGACCGTTCAGCGTAGGTCTAGGCCATGCAATGTACGTTGTAGAATATAGAAGTTAGTAGCCAGCGCCCTTATGTCTAACGTGCGTTAGGCAGTGTTCCCAAGACGAGATCTTGGTGTCGTATCCTTCGGCAGCGGCCGCAAAACAGGTTCTTGTTGGCAAATATTGATCCAGATAATCTTGTAGTGCTGAATTAGGAATCTATATATAAATATTTATGTTTTACACATAGCTGAGCTCATGCATAATGCAGTGCTTATGCGTAATAGTTCGATCATTTTTCTTGTGCTTTGTTCTTATATATACTTGTATATGTGAATATAGAGTGAAGAATTACAGCATTGGTCGGACACTCACAATATATCAGCTATTGACTAGGACCTTTATATTTTGACCGCGACCGAATTAGCAGCTGTCTATTGTTTACCTTTTACGTTAACAATATATGTTATCAATATAATTTGCACCCTCGATGTCTTTCTCATATGAAACCTTTATTGATAAAGTTATCTAGCGTTTGACGCAGACAAAGTATAGATAGATGTGCAAGTGGTCTACTAATTAGATTTGTCATTTTGCGTGTCGAAGATAGCACTGAAGTAAGGAAACTGACTGAATTGGTCGTACCTTGACAATGGATTCGTATCATTGAATCCTCATAAAGTGTAGGTAACTCGTCCAAGTCTGAACAGTAAGCCACTTCGCGCAAAAATTGAACCAATAAACTTCCATTGTAAGGTCCCCTTAGAACCATTTCTCAAAGAAGTCGCAAGGTCTATGGCGGTTTGGGTCGAGTAATAAGCTTTGTTAGATAATAAGAAAAACTTTACGATCCGGCGCAGACATCTCACGATGCATATGTGCAATCGAGTTTTACTGCAAATAATATTAAAAGATGTTATAAATGAAGAACTGGTCTTATTATTTAATTGAAATTTTCCTAATTTCGAAGCGATCAACCGGCTTTGAAATTTCACTCTTTCGGCTCTGGAATTGGAAATTTGGGTTATAAATGGGCTATTTACGTAACCAGAAATCTTTGGTATGATTTCGTCAAAGCAACCTGCATATCGATCATACGAGTGTATTTTTTTGGGGGTTAATGCTAGCAAAGATGAGTCCGGGTCTTATTTCTAGAGAGGAATTTCAGGCGTATTCTTGCTAGACTTCCACTCACTCAAACATTTATTTCAGACACAGACAATTGCCACATCAACAAGAAATAGACAAAGTACGGCGATGCCTTATTGGATCTTTAGGCATATGTAGTTTGGCTGTCGGTAACATGGCTAAACAATTAGTAAGTGCCTCAAATATATTTTATTCTAGGAGGAATTATAGTTTTACATGCATACGATGTGCAGTCAATGATGATGTTAACGATTAACGATCAGGCCACGATTAACACACGTTTTTTTAAAGTTTTGTATTACGCTGTTTCTACATTATTGCCAAAAAGCAATAAACTATGCGCCTTACGGCAATGTTCCATTAGAGACATAAAAAACGACCGATATTTTCTTAAAAAAAAACTTATTAAAAAAACTAATTGTTTCATTGTAAGACGCATAAAAGTGAACAGCATCAGTAAGTCAAATAAAGCGCAAGGTTTAACGTCACAGTAGTACTAGCCTTATACTATTTTACTATATCTCTGTCCTTATTCCTTTTGTACATCACGTTAAGCTGGAGAAAATAATCTTTATGTAAAAGCTGTTGGGTTTACCTCGGAGCAGCAGAAATACAAATAGATATGTAGGCTTCACTTTCCCTGGAGGACAGCAACGGTGCTGATCAACGCTTGCTCTAGGAAAACGCGTGGAATTTCCTGTGTTCTAGGTGTGACCGATATGACAGTGTTACAATTGATATTCAGGAAGCAACCTCGGTTGCCAGAAGGAGTCTCGCATGACGCCGTGGCTACCGGAGCGTAAACGGTAATCAATGATCGTCAACACTTTTTACATGCAGGCGAAGTTTACTAGGTCTGTTCCAGCAAAGGGGTCGAACGAAAAAGCGGTGAGAATATGAGAGAACAACGCACACGGATTCATTTGTGACTTTGAGCGGTTCGTTCCCCAAAGACCTAAAGAAAACAGCATTGGTCACATATGCATTATGCCACCCTCTCGAGACGAGGACTGTTCAGTAATCCAATGATCTCACCTCACAAGACCTGTTCCCAAAGGTGCTTTGCTGACTGAGACGAAAATCACTTTGAGGCTGCATTGCCCCATATTTAAAGAAAACAGCCCAGCAGAAGTCATGCTAAATGTACAAACAATCTTTTATAGTGCTAGTGTCCTATAATAGGCTATTGCAACGTCTTAAACGCATGTAATTATCCGCACGAAGGCGCGCTGACAAAATTATAATAAACATAATAGACAGATCAGGTAAGGTTGACCAATTAATCTCCCGAAACAAAGCCTTACCAAGAAAAGAACAATCAACTGAACCTTAGGCAAATCTCTTTAAAATGTTTCGTATCTATTTGGAATATACACACACTTCGGTCTCTGACATCATCCTCAATCTGTATTGGGCAGATGCTGACTCACTTATATTAAACGTCTACCCTAACGTATTATCATCTTTAGGAGCACGTTCATCTTTTGATCTCTTCGCTCGTTTCTCGTATTTCCTTATCTCTGGATTCCTCCATCAGGCTACTGATCCCTATTACCGCCAGCTAAGCTTTTCTAGTCCCGTAAATTTCGTTTTCGAGCCGAGTAGGTCTAGGCAAGGGTAACTGCAAACGAGATAGCTCAATTGTTCATCTTCTGCAATTTTATGTACGGACAGAAGTTCTCTAAAGGCGCTTTATTCTACCTTTTCAGCGCTGTAGAAGCATTCTTTATGCGTTCCCTCT